TTCTCCTGAGTGAATTACTATTTTCTTCTGAGTTATAATAGCAGTTCTGAGCTGTAGCTGCATAAAACGAAGTCCAGAAGAAAGAAATTCCTCATAATAAAGGAATAAACAGTGCAATGTTCTTTCCGTTTATTGTATTTCAATTTTCAGCCGCATATTGCAGAATTAGTCACAAACTGTACATTAGCAATGGTTCCAATATAATTATAAATGATTAATAGTATGTCTGTAATCAAATGTATATAATAACCTAGAATCTTTAAAAAAAATCTTAAGATACATATAAACCATAAGCAAATCTAAATACATTCATTAAACAAATTATAAAATAGTTAACAACAATATATATAAAAAAAAATACAAGAAGAAAGCCTGTATTCAGCTCTGGAAAGGTTGTGGGAGGGTAGGGGAGGGTTGGGAGGGTTTGGGGAAGGGAACTTTTTTGTAAAACTTAAAAATTTTCAATTAAAAAATAATAATAATAATAATAACCTAGAATCTAAATGACTCTAAGAATTAATAGGTCCATATTTAAAATCCATAGGGCTTTTAAAAATGCATTAAAACTGCCCTAAAGGAACACTTAAACAAAATTATAACAATAACATGATAACAGATTTGGAAGGGATCTTGGAGATATTCTAGTCCAACTCCCTACTCAAGCAGGAGACTCTATATCAGGGGTCTTCAAACTGGGCCCTTTTATGACTTGTGGACTTCAACTCCCAGAATTCCTCAGCCAGGCACACTGGCTGAGGAATTCTGAGAGTTAACATCCACAAGTCATAAAAGGGCCCAGTTTGAAGACCCCTGCTTTATATCATTCCAGACAAATGGTGGTCCAGTCTCTTGTTAAAAGCCTCCAGTGATGGAGCACCCACAACCTCTGGAGGCAGGTTGGTTAATTGTTCTCAGTGTCTGGAAATTTCTCCTTAGTTCTAGGTTGCTTTTCTCCTTGATTAGTTTCCATCCGTTGCTTCTTGTCCTGCCTTCAGGGGCTTTGGAGAGTAGGCGGACCCCCTCTTCTTTGTGGCAGCCCCTCAAATAGTGTAACACTGAAATACTCTTCAAAAGCTGTCCAAACTAATTTTAAGCAATAGAATTAAATAACCATCAATTAAATCAAGAATGTTTGCTTTGCCATTCCAGTTGTTTCATGACTAGAAAGGTATTTCCTCTAAGGAGACAGATGCATGACTCACCACCCACCAAGACATCCAGAGATACTCAAGGATGTTTTAAATGCAAGCCCAGATTTGGTCTAGCCTGATTGATATAACTGAAATAGGCAGGCTGAGGAACACATCATCTGGGGAACAAAAGTAGTTGCTTGCTTCCTGTTGGTAACTTTTCAGTCAGCTATAATCTAAGTGACAATTTCAACAAAAATAAATGCCCAGGATATGATTAGGTACTCTGGACAGTTCCCTGGTGCTGGATTTTGTAAAAGGTGAAAATTGCATGCTGATAATAAATTACATGCAGGTAGTCCTTCACTTATGATCACAATGGGGACCAGGATTCCCACTGCTGAGCCAGGCAGTTGTTAAAAGGTTTGCGCCTGTTTTTACAACCTTCTTTGTTGTCAAGAGAGAATCACTGCAATTGTTAAGTGAATTGTGCAGTCGTTAAAAAATTTGGCTTCCATCCTGGACTTTGCTTGTCAGAAGCTGCTGGGAAGGTTGCAAATGATGACCATGTGACCCCTGGATGCTGAAACCATCATAAATATAAGGTGTTGGCCAAATTCCCAAATTGCATCATCCTCACCCATTTACAGAACTTCTGCCTCTGGTTAGACCACCAGGGATGATGATGATGATGATGGATCATTGCACAGTCAGCCACATGTTCAGACTCGATTTGGCATTTTTGTCTACCTATCGAGTCCTTACCCAGGACCTGGGATAGGCAGATGTGGATGTTTGATGGTATTACAGATATCGTCGCAGGATGGAAGCAGTTCCTAGTAAGGCTGCCTTTTGCAATTGACTAATAGCGAATTTGTCAATGCCGATGATAGTGTTCCAGTGGTGCTCCAGTTGTTTTGGGATTGCACCCAAGGCACCTATGACTATTGGTACTACCTATGCTTGCCTTTGCCACAGTCTTTCTATTTCTATTTGTAGGTCTTTGTATTTTGTTATCTTCTCCAGTTCTTTCTCGTCTATTCAGACACTGCCACGTCCACTATCCAGATTGGATGATGATGATGATGATGATCAAAAAAGTAGTGGCTGATTGGCTGCCCAATAGGGAGGGTGGGCAATCAACAAATCATTATCTGTTGTGTGGGTTTGGCAAATTATAAAGACACACACAAATGCCCGTCTTCGTTAAGAGCCACACCAGTGGTTTACTTAATCCAGGGATGACTATTCTGGTGATGTATACAAACCGTGGCCACATTTAACCTTGGCTGAGTTTGAAAGCTCTGTAGCAAACCTGATTAGTTCTTGGATGGAACACCAAGAGGAAAGACCAAGATCGTAGGCTAGGCTAGGAAGTAAACAAGTAAAACATTTCAGACAGAGGCTATGCAGTTGACAAGTAAGTTTACACTGAAATGAAACACAGCTTAGTTAGTTTATTTCTTAAGCCAGCCCCACCCTTGTCCTTATAACCTTTTGAAGACGTACTGAGGCTGGAGGGAAAAAAAGTTCTCTTGAAGTAATGTTTAATCTAGTGAAAATTTATAATGCAGTTTTGTTGAGAATCGTGTATTCCATGCCTGGCTAAGAATCTTTTTTTAAAAAAAACCTTATTATGGCATGATCCTCCCAGCCAACAGAGATTTTTATCACTTGCCTGTTCCTACTTTAAGACTATCTTATTCTAGTGTTTTTGTTTTTCATTAAGCCTTCAATATTTTTTGAGGGCCGTTCCTGCCTCTGCGGATAGGATCTTTCTGGAGATAAATTCTAATGCTGTTTTCTCGCCAATTGCTTTATTCGTTTATCTTTAGATTTTCTTTCTGATAGCTAATTTATCTATAACTCTACTGAGTTTGGGTTTTCATTTTCAAGAGGCCGCTGATTTTTAATATCTGCCCCGGCTCAATTCAGGGTGTTGAATCCTGTCAAATGTCCTTAAAATCCACCAACGTACTCATCTTTGAGGGGGAAAAAAACCCAAAGAACAGAGGATTCATGGGAAGAAATCCTCAAGTTACAACCATAATGGAACCTGCCCATTGTGAACATATCTTGTGACAATCATAAAGCAAGTCAGTTATGTGACCAGCCTGATTTTGTGAACTTTTTTTTTGCAACGGTCATTAAGTAAATGACATGGTCGTTAAGTGAACCCATGGTGAACTAGGTGGAAAGTACTCTCAAGACTGGTCTGACAGAACTTCAATCACTAGGACAGGGGTAGGCAACCTTGGCTCTTTTATGACTCGTGGACTTCAGCTCCCAGAATGCCTGAGCCAGCCTGGCTCAGCTTGGAAGTCTCTCCCTTTCCCCTCAGCATGGCTGGCTCAGGAATTCTGGGTACTGAAGTTTACAAGTCATAAAAGAGTCAAGGTTCCCTACCCCTGCACTAGGCGACTGATCATAAGTTGAGAACTATCTTTATTTCTTTGAGATCTGCTGACAGGCTGTTGAGTGTTGTATTCTGTTCTTAGGGTTTAAAAAAAAAATGAATATTTCTTCCAGGAAATTTAACAAGCAAGATTAAAAGCTACCCTCAATAGATGTTCCTCATCAGCTGGCACTAAAAGGCATATCTGGTGGTTAGATTTATGCAATAGAAGAGCTCAGGGTGGCCTCTTCTGAGGGACCTTGAGCTGAGGGAAAGGGACTGGCCCAAAGTCACTTGGCTGACTTCCATCCGTAAAGAAGAACTAGAATTTGGTTCTCTACACTCCTAATCCAGCATTTGTACCACTCATCTATTTAGGCTTTGGAGCTGAGAGGAATGGGCTGGCAACAAGTCCCTCAAGGCCTTCCGGGCCTGAAGTATGACTCAGGTTGACATGATAGCAGTCTTCTAATATTTGAGAGGCTGTCATGGAGAAGAGGGGGATGACCTATTCACCAAAGCACCTGAAGGCAGGGCGAGATGTAAGAGATGGAAGATTGTCAAAGAAAGATCCAACCTAGAACTAAGAAGAAATATCCAGACAGTGGGAACAGTGGAATGGCTTGCCTTCAGAAGTTGTGGGTGTGCAAAATCTCACTGGGGATTTTTAAGAAGAGATGGATATTTGTCTGTAATTGTATAGGGTCTCCTGCTTGGGCAGGGGGTTGGACTACAAGATCTCCGAAGTCCCTTCCAACTCTGTTATACTGATACTAACTAGAATCTGGTCTTTCTACTCCTAATCCAACACCTTTGCAGTTATCTCACACTGAACAGAAGACAGACAGCTAGCTTCTATTTGTTCCCCTGACATATCCAAACATCTCAAGCAGATCACCGAATAGATGAATAGAATAGAATAGAATAGAATAGAATAGAATAGAATAGAATAGAATTCTTTATTGGCCAAGTGTGATTGGACACACAAGGAATTTGTCTCTGGTGCATAAGCTCTCAGTGTCCATAAAAGCAATACATCAAGATCATAGTCACCGTAAAAATACATTCATCATAAATCATAAGATACAACACTTAGTGATAGCCATAGAATACTAAATAAGCAATCAACATAAATCATACTTGGATTCTAAATAAAACAATATAACAATATAAACCGTAAGTTACAAGCAACAAAGTTATAGTCATAAGTAAATAAGGAGATAGGTAACAGGAAAGAGGAGAAGAACAATTTGTTCTTTCTTCAGGATTTGTTGACCGACATAGAACCAAGACGTTGTCATCCCAAACAGTGAAAGCAGCCAGCCCCTTCTGCCATTCCCCCCCCCCCCGGATTCCAGACGAGGAGAAAGGAGCAAAGGTGCTTCATTCGCCCCCCTCCCCTCCCCATCAGGATTTTTCTCCGAAACAGTTAACAGCGGCTGAGCTCCTGCCCACACACATGATCTCATTTATCCTGCCTGCCAATCCCAGCCATTGGCTGCTACAGCAAAAGAATCAGTGGGAGCCAACGCTGGTGCAGAAAGCCAGAAGCCTTCACCAGCCAGAAGCAGCCAGACCAAGAGAGAGAGACAGAGAGAGACAGAGACAGAGAGAGACAGAGAGAACGCAACCCAGAAGGAACAAAGGAGAGGACTTTTCTTGTGGTTCTCCACTCTCAGAGTTCTGGATCTTCGTCCCCCCAGGGAGTTGGGGTGGGCATCTTCCAACAGGCACCTGCCAGAATGATGAACTGTAAGTCCAACTCGCTGACTTGCCTCCAAGGAGGAAAATCAGAGCTGCCCATAGCTGCCACCACAGACTCCACCGCCACCTTGAACAAGCTAGCCCTGGCCACAGGGGGCACCGAGAAGTCGTGGTACCGTTGCATCTTCCCCTTTGGCATCGTTGCCTTGGTGATCGGCATTGCCGCCACCTGCATCACTTTCAGCATCAATGGGCCCCAGATGGACATTGCCAAGGTGGTCTCGGTGGCCACCTTGATCTTTGGAGTCGGCCTGCTGGTGGCTGCCTTGGTCTGCTGGCGAGCCAAACGGGAGCGTCAACGGAAGAAGCAGCAAGAAGAACCCCTTCCCTTAGAACCAGGGGGTCTCTGAAGCCCACCTTGAGGCCAAGCCCCCAGGTACCAACTTTTGCTGTAGAGAACCCTATCTTTTTCATGTCATCCATGGCAGATGTTGGGAAAGAAGCTGTGGAGACACACGTCCCGTGTCTTGGAGATGGAGAAGCATAGAACCCAGCCAGCCAGGAGCCCATGGAGCTCCCTTCACTCAGCGTCATGAGTGGTATGATGGACGAGTTAAGGTGGCCAGCTCAGGCCAAGAGGAAGGGAGAACCAGTCCCTGCAGGTGAGTGGCCAGGATGGGCATCCAGCTGACCATACTTCAGCCTTTTCCCCCCCAGGAAGATGGTTTGATCTCAGCCAATGGGGCTGCAGACAAAACACCCCAAGGACGAACTTCAGGAAGAGAGTAACGAAACCCAGAGTCCTTTCCTTGAGGATAATGACAATTGCTTTCCAGCTATGCCCACCTCTGTCTGAGTGCGAAAACAAAAACAAAAATATCCTTTCGGAAAAAAAGGAAAAAAACTGAAACTTCAATCCCAGGGCATGGAGCTGGAGGTCGCAAGAAGTTCCACGTGGCTTCTAAGTGAGAATGGCGCTTCTGCCTTTGGTTACCTGCCCTCCAGTGACTGTGGATGAGGAAAGAGACCAGGATTCCACTTGGGCTGCAACAGCCACCCTCGTTTCCCGTGGTGGGAAACCAGGTTGAAAGTTACTGCACAGCTTTTAGGAACAAACAAGGATTCCCTTCGGCTGCCCACATCTTTAGCAAGTTAGGCGGAGAATCTGCTTTGTTCTCGAACGGGAGAAGAGGACGATGCGCCGAGACGCCCACCGCAGGTTGCAAGACCTCATGAAAACGCTGAGCCCTCGCAACTGCCACTGCTACTTGCAAAGTGGTACAGCTTCTGACTTTGGGGATTTGGGGGAGGGATGGGGGAAAGGGGTGTGTGTGATTTATTACGGGAGTAGCAGTTTAGTGCCTAAAGACGGTGCAGCCATCCTTTGGAAGCACTGTGTACTGTGTAGGGAGTGGAGATAGCAAAGGGCGAATTAAAACTCGATCTACCTGGGAATAAATCCCTAGGGACAGAGCCTGTCTTCTTTCTCTCTTACTGGACCTTGCTTTGGTCTGGATCGGGGGGCTGCACCAGTGAGGTGCGCCCTGACGCTTGTGGCACTGGAAGAGGTTTGTGCGTGGAAAGTGTCCAAAGCTGGCTGAGTTAGCCGTTCTGAACGAGAGTTGCAAAAAATAGCTTCAGTCTTGTCCTCCCAGATTGGGAGTTTGGAGGGTGATAAAGCAAATTTGTTTGACCTTCTCTCAGTGGGGCAGGCTTGGGCTATCAAAAGTGAAAAATGAGACACAGCACTGTGTATTACAAATAGATGCCGAAGGGAATAAAATCGGTGGCCAGCTTCATGCCTGGAGGTCACTCTTTGGGAAGGTGTTTGGATATCTGTGTCGTCTCTTTTGATGCCTTCTCCATCCTCTCATTAAATCCAGGGTGTGCCCCGGAAGCTTGGGAGTCAAGGTGGCCCTCTGAAAGCTAGAGAGCGGTTCTCCAGAACCTTTCCCAAAATTATCCTCTGCCTTAAAAATAAAAGAGCCCATGGGGATTCAGCCTCATCTGCATTTCACTGCATTTCATCGCCTTGCATGAAAATGAACTCTAGTCTACAGGTAGTCCTCAATTTACAACAGTTGATTTAGTGACCCGTTCGAAGTGACAACGGCACTGAAAAAAAGTGAGCTATGACTCTTTTTCACACTTAACAACCGTTGCAGCAACTCCCTGGGTCATGTGATCCAAAAGCGGACATGACTCGTATTTATAATGGTTGCAGAGTCCCGGGGTCACCTGATCGGCATGAAGGTCAGCTTTGGCAATCTTTTGACCAGCAAAGTCAACGGGGAAGACCAGATTCGCTTAACAATCGTGTTACTAACTTAACAACTGCAGTGATCCACTTAACAGCCATGGCCAGAAAGTGGGGAAAAGTGGGGCAAAATTCACTTGAATGTTTCACTTGGCCACAGAAAGTTTGAACTCAGTTGTGGTTGTAAGTTGAGGATTATCTGTATTGGGCTGGCCCAAGCTTCCTTTTCAGGAGAAGGTGATCCTGACCTCCTCCTTTTCCTCCTCCTCCTCCTCCTCCTCCTCCTCCTCCTCCTCCTCCTCCTCCTCTGAACCAAAGGTATCCCTGGGCCAAACTTGACTTTCCTGACCCAGAGGTCCGTCTATCTGTAACCCAGACAGTTACAGAAGAATCCAGTTCTCAAGTTTGTTGATGGTCCTCAACTGTGGTCTCATAACAGGTCAAGAAGGGTTGCGAGCAGAGGGCAGAGGCTAACTCAGCTGCTCCTTCATACCTGGACCTCAGCCCACATCTGGACATGCAGCTGGAAAGAACCGAAACTGGATTCTGTCCAAGAAGATACAGCTGCCAGCAGTAGCGGATGTCTGGGGTGAGGGGCAGGTGGGCGGGGAGGAGAGGAACACAGAGCTGGGCACATCCATCACGTTCCTGGCTGCAAACTTCACAGTGGCAGAAAATTCCCCACCCCACCCCACCCCACCCCCACCCGAGGTGGCTCAGCCAGGCCTGGCCAAGATGGAACAGATGTGGAAGGAAAAGTGGGATAGCTCAGCTAAAAAAGCAGACCAAACACCGGAAAAAGAGATGATCTAGAGTGGTGGGATTCCAGATTATACCCTGGGGTTAGTGAGGCAAGGAGAAGAAGAGGAGGGGGACGGGGTGGGGGATGGATTATTTGAAGTGTTTGCAGGAAGATGTAAATCCATCTGGTCTTCTCTGATAAAGAGAATTCTGTCCAGGTAGCTTCATTTAGTGTCCGGTTTCAAAGTTACAACGGCACTGAAAAAAGGGACTTGTGATCATTTTTCACATTTAAGACTGTTGCAGCATCGCCACGGTCATGGGACCAAAATTCAGAGGCTTGACAACTGACTCATATTTATGACAGTTGCAGTGTCCAGGGGTCTGTAATCCCTTTTTTGCGAACTTCTGACAAGCAAAGCTGGATTCCCTGAACAACCACGTGACAAACTTAACAACTGCAGTGATTCCCATAACAACTGTGGCCAGGAAGGTCATAAAACAGGGCAAAACCCATTTAACAACTGTCTCGCTTAGCAATGGAAGTTTTGGGGGGCCATGTGCTCATAAGTCGAAGCAGTTGAAGTTTTTGCAAGGAGATACAATCCATCTGGTGCTGTCTGATAACAAGGAACAGAGGAGAATTATGTAGCTAGGTGCTCAGGTATAACATCTACAGGTGGTCCTCAAGTTATGACCACAATTGAGCCAAAAATTGATGTTGTTAAGTGAGAAACTTGTTAAGTGAGTTTTGCCCCATTTTACAACTTTTCATAGTATGTTTAGGTGTGTGTCATGTATGTGTTTCACTTTGAGAGCAGGCAAGTAAATTTCATTTTTGATGTGTGCCGTTGTGCCCACAATAAAAAAAAACGACAATAAAGATTATCTTATCTCTCTATCTTATCTTATCACATTTGGTAAGTGAATCATGGAAGTTGTTAAATCAGTCACACGGTTGTTAAGTGAATCTGGCTTCCTCATTTGTTTTTGCTGGTCAGAAGGTTGCAAAAGGGACACGGCAACCGTCATAAAGGTGAACCAGTTGCCAAGCGTCTGAATTTTCATCATGTGAACGCAAGGATGCTGCAACGGTCCTCAGCGCAAAACTCACAAGTCCCCTTTTTTCAGTGCTGTTGTAATTTTGAACGGTCTCTAAACAAACTGTTGTTAAGTCAAGAGTGAACTGCATATAAAAGATATTGCTAATATATATGTCAAGGTTCCTCTAGGCCAGGGGTGTCAAACTCGCAACGTCACTTGACCTTTTGGGCAATGGGGTGGGTGGGTTTCGCTAGGATGCATCCGGCCCACGAGCCGGCAGTTTGACACCCCTGCTCTAGGCTTAATTTCTCCCCCCCCCCTCTTTTCTTTTAATCCTCAAGCCAGCCTCACAAGCTGGTGATGCAGAGGAAGAATGATTGATCTCATGCCTTCCTGGAAGTTTAGTAGCTAAATAAGAGCCTCCGTATTTCTAGTGTTGAGTCATCACAGTATACATCAGTTGGTTTGTGCTTGCCATCTCTGCCTATAGTAACTGGGGTTGCTTTGAGTTTTGGCAACTTGAGACGTGTTTTTTTTTTTCCTTTCTTGTGGGGTTGGACTTGAGGTCTGTTTTGTAGGGAGAGGCTTCCCAAGTTGATGCAGGGAATGGCTTCAGAAGCTCCACATCTCCTCTAGGACAGGGGTCCCCAACCCCTGGTCCACAGCTCAGTGCCAGGCCACAGCTCGTTGGGAACCGGGCCTTGGAAGTGGTGGGTGAGCGGGTGGAAAACCATCCTCTCTTCTTCTCCCCCCCCCTCTGCTGCTGCTACCACCACCTCCACTGGTCCACCATTTCTCCTCAGGTGTGATGATGGTGACCCTGAAACATCGGCTTTCCAACCCGACACAATGTAGATAAAAGGAGTCAGGGCTTGGTAACCATCAACAGAACGAGGCCAGATTTGATATGGTGGGAGAAGTCAGCAGAACAAAGCTTGAGGGTGAAACTGGGCCAGATCCAGCTGGTGGAGTGAGGGTCTGTGGAGATGATGGTAGGAGACAGGAGGAAGAGCTGCAGGTTAGGCAACAGGCGTGCGAGAGGTTATCTCAGCCCACAGAAAGAGAAGGGGCGCGGGAAATACCTAAGAAGGCCCTTCCCTTGTTTCCTGGAAAGTAAAAGGAAAGGCGATGGGGAAGGCTTTCAGACTTGCAAGATTATAGCCTGGACAAGAAGCACAAATCCTGAGTAAGAACATTACTTTAATTGTAAGGTTACGACAACAGAATCTTGCAAAGGAGAGTCCCTTTCAAAATGCTTCCCACGCCCTTTTTCCTTCTGTGACTGAGATACCTTTGCTATGAGGGTCATCTAGGCCAGTGTTTCTCAACCTTGACAATTTTAAGGCATGTGGACTTCAACTCCCAGAATTCCACAGCCAGCATGCTGGCTGTGGAATTCTGGGAGTTGAAGTCCACATGCCTTAAAATTGTCAAGGTTGAGAAACACTGATCTAGGCTATGCCTCTTCCTCCCATCTCCCAAGATCACCCCCACAGACCATTACAGGGGTCTACAAAGAAACAAATGGCTGGGGGGGGGGGAATCCTCCAATGCAGTGTTTCGTAACTTGAGCAACTTTAAGACCTGTGGATTTCAACTTCCAGATTTCCCCCACCCTACACAGCTAGTTGGGAATTGAAGTCCACAGATCTTAAAAGGGACCAAATTTAGAGATCCCCGCTGAAAGCAAAGACGAGGAGCAAAATTTCACAATACCCGAGGAAGATATTTTTTAAGCGCGTGGCCTCCTTTGCAAGGGAGCCTTTTTTCTGTAATAAAGGATGTATTTTTTAAAAACCGCCCTGTATTATACTCTGGTTTGCCCATTCTCTTTTCTCTCCTCCAGCCTTGTTTTCGGAATTATTCCCTTTCGTGCTGTAACTTCACGAATCCCACCTCAATAGGCAGAATCTGGAAGTCTTTTGCTCTTTTTTTAAAAAAACTGTATAATGGTTTAAATTCCCCAGGGGAGTTGTGTCCACAGGTGAGAACAGGAAAGGGCTGTTTTTTTTTTTTTTTTCATCTTCTGATGATGCAGAGCAAAAAATAGAACAGGGCTCACTTTTCAACTCTCGCTCTTTTGCTACAGCAGGGGGCCTGGCGGATTTCCTTTAAACCTAGCTGCCAAAATATGTCAGTTTCTTCTATTTCTGTGCCCTGGGTAACCAAATACATCCCTCATGGAAAACAAAATAAATTCAACGGCATTTCCTGTCCAGCAGAGATCCATTTCATGTGCTGAACTTTCTGGAAATCGC